CAGGTTTTTCTTCATAATGCTTTCCTGATTACGCTTCCGCAAAGCTGGGGAAGTGAATAGTGGGCTGATTATCCATGGACCATGATCTACATCAGTGTAAAACTGTTGCCATTGTATGTGAGAAGAGAACTTTGCATATTTACTAGAAGGGAATAGCCATCCTGCTTCTTATTCCGTCTTCAAATTCACAGTGGGCCTGATCCAAAACACAGCTATGTCAAAGAGATTCTTTGTCTAGGCTCTTCATATGTCCCACATTACCATTGCAAAACCTGCCCTGTTTATCATCTTAAATATACATGCCAAAAATGGACCTCATATTGACATGGTATGTGGTCAAACCCAGGCTGATTCCTCAAACACTTTGGCAAAGAGGTGGATCAATGGATAAGCAACTGAAAAGACTGGATATAAGGGGAGAAAAACACAAACCAAAGTTACTGACTCTGTGACATATTAACAGAATTGTCTGTCATTGTTTTCCCTTAAAAAAAACAAAACCCTTGAGAGAGATCCAAGTCTTTTTACATAATGCTTTCTCGGAGCCAGATTCCAGTTGTCAAGCTCATCTTAAGGACCACTGGCTTTGTTAAAGTTATGGCACTGTTGGCTGTGAGAGTCCATATCTGACCTATGGTCACGAGTCAGAAAGAATTGGACTTCGTAGGAAGATTAGTGTTGGCAAGTGTATCACATAAAAGGCCACTTATGCTTGATACAGACCAAGCAGCAGAGACTTTTTAAACAAATGCACAAGGTGCATTAGTTTCATTATTCAATTAAGACAGCATTTTCCTCAGCATCTTAATTAACACTCATTTACTAAGTATGAAACCATTTTTTTTCTGTTAAAGCAGAAAGATCAGTGCTAGGAGCTATACATTCTGCAAGATAATTGCACCATGTAATTCTGGTGCTTCTACAATTTATACTGAAATATTGATGGATATGTTCCAACATTCTTTTTTTTTCTCCCCATAACCATATTTCATAATCTTTTAAATATCTCTCTCCTGAAAACTTGAGTATAAAGTACAAATCCCCTTATGTAATAGCAGTTTAATGCATCTGGAAAGTGCTAATCAAACAAAAGCATTTCAGAGCGATTTCTGCTTTCAGAAAACAAAGACGTTGTTAAAGTGTTGTAAATATGAATTTAGGAGGAATGTGCAGTAACAGAAGGGCATGACTAAGGATTCTCAAAAAGTTAAGGGCTCCACTTTAATAGCAGAAGTAGCAAATATCTTTTCTGATTTTTGCTAACAGAACTAAGAATAAAACACTTCCATTTCCAATGCTAAGTGACACTTTGCATTATCTCCTTAGAAGAGTCACTCTGTAGCCTTACTGGCCATGCTATGGTTCTAGAATTGACCGAAGACTTGTCTAATGAAATGCAATGGGGTTATACAGGATAACAAAGGAGTACCTCAGAGAAGGAAGCCTCACTTATGAACAGCGTTTGGAACAATGGTTCAAGTGCTTTGTATGTTTGTCATGATAATAAAACCTTGATAAAGTGAATAATAGACATTAATAAGTAGTGAGGATAAAGCATTTGGTTGCGAGTTTCTACAAACTGTGCAGACAGCTCTTGGGTTTGCTGTAGGAGACTGTTGGAAGGCTGCAGAGCCCTAAGAGCTCTGCCTCAGGCTGTTGGATTAATTGGCACAGAGGAGTTGAGGGGTTTACCTTTAACACTGATATTGGTGTCTAGTGTGGGAACAGAAAGTAAACTGCAGAGAAAGACCTGTGAAATTTCATAAACATTCATTGAATTTGCTCTGTTGTCCTCTTTAGTTAAGTATTTACAATGCACTTTCTGTTTCTCATGCTCTGGGTGTGTTATTCTGGTATTTACATAGCATGTCATACCATATCGGTTTTCTGCTTATCTGCAGGGTTGTCTGTCCTACCTTTGACAGCATTCTCTCTCTTTTGGTGCATCTTTCCTACATCTCCTCCTTCTGCATCCTGTCCCATCTGCTGAAGAATTAAGTGGGGCTTGTACAGGCAACAATTCTGAATGCTGCTAGTTCGCCCCAGCTCTGTCCTGGGAAGTCCCCTCCACTGACAATGAGACATAGATCAACCTTTCTTCCCATTCAGTCCTTGGCTTCTCTGGGAAGACCACTAAGATGGATGCTTACAGTGATAATGGTGCTGACATTTGCTCACCAGGAATTGGAGTGAGACCATCATTTCATGTCATATAGGTCTCCAGCAACAATCAAATGCTAATGAGTGCCAGGCCATCAGAGGCCTGGCATGCACTCCAGCTAGTGTCCTGATCTCACTGTCCTTAGCCCATTATCCATTGTATCTGCTAGGTATTGCTACAGCTTGCCCCGTCAGCAAAGATGTTGCACAACCAGCTACTGACCACCCAGAGCTATTCTGTTTAGGCTGGATGCCATCCTTTCTGGGCAAGTGTACAGATCATGTCTTGAACTGTGCCAGACACGCTGTTTGTGGTTCCTTTTCTGCTTATGAGCCTGGCTGAACAAAAAAGGCTATATATATATGTATATATGTACCAGTAGTGTTCGTGTTACATACAATCTGACACCCGGTAGATACTCCCTGGGGATTGTAACGAGGCACCCACTGCTATACAGCATGTTTTGGCAACCGGGAGGGCTGGCGAATCCCATGCCTGTCTTTCTTCTTCAAGTCTTTGAGTTTCTTTTTGGCACATACGTGCAACGAAGTACAAGATGCAAATACTGCCAAAGCTCCTTGTAGAATAGATGACATTTATATTGTTATGCAGTTTGCTGATCTAAACATACCATTGCCTTGCCTTGATAGCCCAGGGCAAGTGCTAATCAGCTTGTTTCGTGGGCACCATGCCATCTGAAAGGGTGAACACAAATAGAGACAGTATGTGCATCATCTAAGAGTGTTGCAAGAATACGATTGCCAGCTGAGAGTATCGAAATGTGTCTGTCTCCTGAGCTTGTATGTTGGCATGTAAAAGATAAGTGACGGCGTTAAATATGATGTATTTGGAATAAATCAAGGTTATTTTCCTTAGCTGCTTCAAGCTAGTTTTCATTATATAGGTCACATCATCAACTGATATAAATTAGCATAGCTGCACTGAAAGTAGTGCATTTTTATCTGCTGAGCATCTGGCCCCATGTGACTGTTCTCCATGAGAAGCTCTTCTTCTCATTTGGCCCTCTAGGGCATCATCAAAGGCTGTTTAGGCTAAAGGTAACATGTAAGATGAGGAGTTTGGGTTCCTATATTGTCTTCAGAGCTCTGTCACTGACACTTGATGCTGAGCAATTTGCCCTCTGAGTGTCTGTGTGCTTTGATTCACCTAGTGTATGTAGCAGTACTTTTACTTAATTAGTACCATAGCACAAAGGGCTTTAATCAAGGTTTGCTGGAATGGCAGGCACGGTGAAACAGTTCCTTTAACTTCAGTGTTGCAGTGGATAGATGGATATGGCTCTTTGACAATGACATACATGGAAAACAAGGGTTGTATGTTGTGCAGAGGAGTAGCAGTGGGTGTTGAGGAGCTTCTGGATCAGAAGGCCCACAAAGAGGGTGTCATGGTGGGCATCTCCTATGAACCACCTGATTGAGAGGAAGAGCTGACTGAAGCAACTTGAAGAAAAATCTTCTGTCAATAGATTCAGTTTTGAGGTTTGCCTTGTTTTGAGTAGAAGGATGCCAACAGTCTTCTACAACCTCCATGTGAAACCCTGCTCTTCCACTTATCTCTGTGACTCTCAGGGATTTGTTCTGGATTAGTGGACAGATGAAGTGTAGCCTCTCCATCCTCACTATCGATAATATCTGAAGTACCCCCAGTGCCATCTCCTGCCTTCATTTGGCTAGTTTATGTTCTGTCCCTTCCTTCTTTGTGTGCTTTTCTTTGTACCCATTTCCCTATTTACTTGCTTGTTTATTCCTCAGATTGGATTTTTCCTGCCATGTTTTCAGGAAAACACAGTCTGTGGGTATTACATATAAACAATTACATCTGAAAACCCCCAAAGATGCACTGAAAACGGATACTTGCATGAAATAACAGGGGACTTTGGATGTACAAGTAGAACTCTAATAGCTGGCTTGAATTCATTTTGGTAATCTGGCCCTTATCCCAGCCTTTTTGAAAGGTAATCATCGTTCAAAGAGAGGTTTTCATTCACTGTAGCGTACACTTTATATTTCACTGTGTAATGTAACCTTCCATACACTCAAGGAAAACAATTTCCAGAGCTAATTGCTGAACTCTGTGGATCTAATACTTTAAATGGGTTATGTTAGATAAGAGTTGAAAAAGAAGAAACATTCTGGGGGAAAATTATTGTTTAGGGAACATTGATTTGTGTGAATTAATGTTTTCACTTTGGTTGATAGTTAAAAATGGATACTTAAGCTAAGCCGCATTTTTAGTGTAACGTTAATGCTTCATTAGCTATAAACCTAGGCTGCAAGCTGACGTCCATTGGTTGTTTGCTTTCTTAAGTCTTCAGACTCCAGTTGTCATTGTGTCAACCTGTGCCACAGGTTTTATATTGATTTTAATGCAAAACAACCCTATGGGGTTGTTGTTGTTTAATGGGCTCAGAGATGGGAGGATTCTTTGAAGTTCTCATTGTTACTTATTCACTTTAGACAATCCTTTCCACCCTTCTGTCTCAACCTTCTTGTCATTAAAATTAGGAACAGTGTTAATGATCCTACCTGACACAGAGATTGTAGAAATTAACTGATGTTACTATTTGTGTAATATACTGTATTTGTACAAAGGTGGTGTGTTACTTGTGCTGCAGGAGCAGCCATCTGTCACACACATGCATTTAGGCTGCAATGACAGTTTTGGGCTTGGAAAGTTAAGTAATTTTCCCACAACTGTTTATTTGGGGTTTTTTTCTTCTATTTTTGTTAACTGTTTGTTGTATTTTAATTCAGAATATAGCCCAGGTCTGTAACTGCTATCAGTTATGGTGGGTTTATCGGCCCTATAGTTTGGGGTTATAGCACAAAAGTGTCTATGTAAGAGGTCAGCACTGTATAAAAGTTGTTAGTAATAAACTAGACACAACGTTTGAGTTTAATTTCAATTTGTTTTCTCCCATGTAGCTGCATGTTGGTGACAGATTGAGAGAGAAGGAATAAATCACAGCGTTGCGACTTAAAGCAGCCCAGTCAAATAAAGGGTATGTATATTTGTTTTCTATAGTTCTCTTTAATTACCTTGTAATTCTTGTGATGCTTACCTTGGTTGTGTTTAAAGGAAGGCTGTTATCTAAAGAAAAGACTAAGGATATGATATTTAGGTGAGGCCAGTCTTAGCCAGTGGAAGTAGAAATGTGACTGTGGAGCTGTCCTTAGCCAGTGGAGCATCGAGAGAGTGGATCGGGACTTCCACAGTAGGAGCCTGGCTCCTCTTAGTCAGCAGAGCCTCTTGCTAAGGCTCACAGCTTCTGTGTTAGGACGCTCTGCTTCTCTACAGGTAAGGCATTTGCCTAAAGGTCAATAAGAAACTGGAGATCCCTACCTGTACCTCTGCTGATTTCAGCAGACGAACACTGGAGAAGTAATGCCACCCTGATCTCAGGTGAGAGGCACTGGTTCTTGATCAAGTTGTACTGACAAGCATGTCCACTGCTGTCAGCTGGACTCTCATGCCCTTACCAATGTGCTGAAATACCTCAGTTCTCCAGGCCTAGACTGACTTTCTATTTAGGCATATATCAGGTTTCCAGCATGCGAATAGAGCTAGGCTATCCAGCAAGCAATGACTCAGTAAAATGCAGACATCACATCTAATTCCACTACTGAGTGTGAATTTCCTTCTCTTTCAGGATCTACCAACACCGGTGAAGTCCCTTCTGTGAACCACACAGCAGAAACTGAGTTGCTCCTTCCCACTGGCAAACAGCCTAAGGAGGAGCTGTTTATAGGTGAGATGTTCAGCATCAACAGAAGCAATTAGCTTTTTGCTCCTTTCTGTTAGAAGGACCTTATGAATTGTGAATTGAACTGATAATTAAGAGCTCAGCAGCTTTATAAACTGTTGCTATATTTGTACAATATTTGTACCAAGGTACGATGAGGCTACACCGTATTATACAAGCCCATTGCGTTTGCATGGTTATCTTATTTCTCCTTTCTCTCTTTCTATTCTGTGAATTTTTATTCTTTGGATTACCTCTTGCTACATCTTTTGATCTGTTGCAGCTAAAATTGATCTCACCTGTGCATTTAACACTGTAACTTTAAAGGCATTCCTGTGTTTCTAAATGAATATCAGTATGGTGCTGGCACTGTGTGGGGCACTGAAGGAGAATGAAGACCGGCGGGGTGGACTCAGTGTTGAATAATCATGTAGCATGGAGGTAATTCAAAGAACTAATCAGAGACAGACATAAAGAGCAGTTATCTTCTGGAACGCAGGAAGTCAGGTAGAATGAAAAGCAAACCTGAAAACAGTGAATCTGTTTTACATCAGTGAAGGCAGAGGAGTCCTACCCAGGATTATTTCGGCCATTGTCAGCGCTCGGTGCTGCAGATAACATGAATTCCATAGCAACGAGTTTTTAACTTGAAGTTCCTGGGTGCAGAGATGCATATTAACGAGCAAATGGACTTGAGTTTCATCGAGATCGTTAAAAAGTATCTTTACTTTATTTTCCACCCACCATCCTGCTCAGAAAATGGACTTCTTTATGAAGTCCTTAATTAAGGATGAAAATTTCATGTTAGACAGATGCTGTCATTTTCTTCCTACCCCTCCAGCAAAAAGCCATGTGTAATGTGCTGCATTGGGCTCGGAGGCTGAAGAAAGGGTTGTTAGTGATAAGCATCTGCAAAACCTGTAACACATGCCCAGGAACTTAGTCAGATGAGTCAGATGTTGCATGGGCCAAGTTTAAGCCCAGAGAGAATGTTACAACACAGGAAGAAACCCCTGAAAATAACAGGAATTGGTACAGTATTTGGGCTGTAAACACAGGTTAGAACAGTCTGGGTATTTGCTTTCATCCTCTCTTATTCTATTTTGAATTCCAATGTTCCTGCTTGCTAAACCACTTTCCATTTCTGCTCTGTTTTACCGTGACATAAGGAGAAGGGATATTTTGGAAGCTGGAAAACTGCCACTTGCACCAGAATGGCATGCCACTAATTTTTGCAGGTTTTTTGAACTGAGCATTGCCACTCTGAGAGCTCTGTCAGCCTCTTCTTCTAGGATTCCCCTCAGAGATCCTCACCCTCCTACAAGGCAGGACATGCCCCTGGTTACAGTCCCTTTCTCTGTAGGTTGTGCCTCCCCACTTGCTTCAAAATTGGGCTCTTTGAAATGAGGAACTGAATAGCCCAAAAGATCAGGCTTGCAAGTGCATCCTTAGCGTAGACAGGATGAAAAATGACTTTGCAGTATGCACTGATGTAGTTTAGCATCATTTCAAGTAAAGGTCAAGCAAAAAGGTCCAACTTTCCATGAGGTTGGTCTCCATGCCAGGTTTGGCTTTGTGGCAGCAAGGTGGCAAGAAACCATGTGTGTAGCATGTGGGCTGGCCTGGAATAGAGGTATTTGTGGCAGTCCTAGCCAGGAACATGCTTGATGACGGACATTTCAGTGGCTGGTGTTGCACAGTAGCTCGTGGTAAAGCAACCTCAGTGGTAGGTATCATGAAATACTACACGGGTCTTGATTTGCAGCTTTGCTTATGCTCTGCTATATATTTGGGTATAGTTCAGCAGGCAAGACAGCCACATTGAGGGACAACCTCAAAATGTGTACAGCCTCTTTTACAGAGGGACAAACAAATCTCACTTCTACTTCTTTATTTTGTCTCCTTTGAGCAGAAATTCGGGCAAGCCATTTAATGTCACCTAGTGAGTTTTAATGGAGGCTTGGAAGAGGAAGAAAAAACCCCTCCTGTGTCCACTTGTTCCCTAGGTACGCCACATTACCCACAGCTAGCCTCACCACTCCCAGCGAAAGTTTGTGTAAGTCCTAAAATAATTTCATTCCACTGGCCCACAAATATTCCCATTTGGTCAGCCTTATATAGAGTAATTACTGTTTAACATGGCACCGCAGCCGGGTCAGGGCTTATTTTGGGTTATGGGTTATAAAAAGCTGCTTGAAAAAAAGAAATGTGTTTGTGGATCTGTCATTCTGAACAAATGGGTCCAGAAACTTGTTAGTTTACTCATTTTCTTTCACTTGTTTTGCTTTAAGAGTCAGCATTCATAACAGCACTGGTGTTAGTACTGAAGGCATCCAGCCATCTCATCCCGGCTTGCGTAGATATGCCTGCACTTCAATTACATGAACTGTAATTGTTGGGTGGGCAGGTTTTGTGGTGATACTGAGTATTGTGGGGTGGCTCATACTCAGCGAAGGGGGTCAAGGTTTAACCAGTGGAGACATGGGAAGTTCATTTTCGTGAGCAGGTGATAGGTGTGATGGGTGGGAAATGCCTTGGCTCTGTGCTCTCCTCCACAGAGGTCTTTGCATTTTATGTGCCTTGAGTGCTGTGCAGAGCAGGCAGTTCATTCCCACACCTGTGATGTGGTGCAGTTAGCATTTTTCCAGACCAGGGCAAGTCCCACATCAAAGATCCTTCTAACTTTACTTACTTTGATCTATACATATATATGCATGTGTCTTATGTTTGTGCATATATGGATAGATATGTCTGTGTAGCTAGAAAAAAGGAACCTATGGCTGCATATATACGTGTGTCATTTCTTATCTGCTACTAAAATACAGGTGTCTCTGTGGGAAACAAGTTGTTAAGCTGTTTATTGTACAAGAGTTCAGGAAGTTGAGAGTATTATATTCACTTACATGGTTTCCCATGCTGGGTTGGTCATTTCAGCTCAATAATTAGTATCCCAGTCTATTTCACAGAAGACCCTGATATTTTTTGTAATCATAGGAAAGAATGCTGCCCATTGGGACAGAGCAAGAGGCTATGGATCAGGAACAAAGGGTTTGGTTGTCCTTTTCTACTTATTTTATGGCCTGGGACAATTCTTAGCACTCTTCTGTGCCTCTATTTAATAGCAAAATGGGACTAGTAACATTGAATTACCTTGCACAGAACTATTTAAAGATGAAATTGAAGTTTCGAGACCTTTTACTAGCCTTTGGCATCAGAGACATAGAGCAGCTATGAGAAGTGTTCCTGTGGTTTGGCTTTATTAATGATATGAACTCCTTGAGAAGTTATATTAGTGAAGTGGAACTGGGAAACAAACCAGAAGCAGATAGGCAGAAACCAAACCCTTTCATGGACACAGTATGCTAAGTAAAGATGGCTGTATCATTGGGGTTTTTTCTTATGAAACAATATGAAATGCATGTGGAAAATAGCTTCATCTCTGTAACAAAAACCAAGCAGACAATTGGTATTTCAATAGTTTTTAAGGCAAGACAAATCTAAAAAGAAATACATTAGAAATGACAAAAATATTTCAAACTGGAAATCTGGGAACACAGGCTGTTGGCTCAGAAATAGCTCTCAGGTTTCTTGGCTCCTTATTCTTCATCAGCTATGCCAGGCAGGTGGTGAATGGCAGCCCTGAGGCCCAAGCCCTTGACCAGAAGCAGTTACCTCATGCTAAGCAGAATCAGGATGGGGAAATAGAGCCATGGACACAGTTTTTCCTCTGCTTTGGTTTGGGCTTTCCTGTCAGGTCATCCATTATATTATTCCTTATATCCATACATTTCTTCTTCCTCTTTTTCCAGGTTGTGCCTGGTGAGTGTTGGAGGTGATGAAGTGCACACACTGTTTGCCTTTCCTGCCAAGGATAGGTACAACGTGGTCATTCAGGACTGAGCATATTGCCAGTACACCTTCCTCCCCAGGTGGCGAAGCGAGCAGTCGAGCACCGTTCTAGTCATAGCAGCACAAGTTATTACACACCAGCTCTGCCTTTCTTTTGGATATTCCCTATATGTTCATGGTAAGAATTGAATTATTTTTCCATCTCCAGCAAATCTAATAGGCCCAGAGAAATGTTTTCGTGTAGGCACTAAGAGTAAGGAGAAAACAGGTAAGATCCCAGGCCATCAGGGACTGAATCTTTTCCATTGTGGGTTGCTTCTTGAGTTCGTCTGAAAGAGCTTTCATTTGATTTAAAAAGCTTTTATTGATTAAAAAAGGCTTTGTTCATAGGCTCTATTTTCTTGAGTGGCTGAAGCAGGCTTAACTCATGACAGGAGCCCTTATTTGAGTTTATTTTCATCATCTTGGTTGGTGCTAAATTTCATGCTTTTCTTCTCCATAAAGGTAACTGGAAAAGAAGCACACGGTTTAGAGATAGAAAAGAAGTGTAGGTTTCCTTCCAGTCCATTAATTTTCTTTCATGGAGCCCTGTACCACTTTGAGTGCACAATTGGGAAGAATCAAAACACAGACATCCAGACCATTACATAAGATCAAAAAGAGAACAGATTTATTTGGAAGCTGGGTCTAATGTATTTGTCCGAAGTCATGGACATTTTTGAGAGCTCAAAACATTCTTCCTGTTCTGCCTCAGGATGAAACTTAGCTCGTATGAACTGGAGAGAGCTCCCAAAATATTTGAAGCCTTTTTAAGTAACCGTAGACCTAATTCAGAGTCCTCACTGAGTGAGGCCAAGCAGGGATTTGAACCTGATTCTTATGCGTGCTCTTTTGTTCTCTTTCCTCCTTTTAATTTGAAGTTCCAGCTTATATTGAAGAAACTGTCCCTGTGGATTTCATAAAACTGGATTTATCCGGGTCAGACACTTAGGATTTTTTTTTTAACTGACCCAGTGTTTTGTGTCCAACCACCCCCCTTCCTGAAATAAACAAATAGATATGACTGTGGAAATTTCCATTAAAAAAATTCCCTATGTTTTGCCTCAGAATTGTATTATTTTCCAGCAGTTCAAGTTCAAACTCTTCCTAACTGGGCTTCTGTATAACATAAAGGACAGCGAGCAAGGGGACCATCCAGGCTAGGAAGATCTAGTATTTAAGGAGAGCATCCAACTGCAGTGGATGGCTTTGCTGGGTTCACTGACCTCTTGTAGTCTGGATACATGTCTATTAGGAACAGGCTAGAAACTGGACTGAGTTCCTTCTGCTGCCAGTCACTTGCAGTCCTGAACAGAAAAGGAAACACCAGTTTTTCTTCCGTAGTCCGGATGCTGACTCACCTGTGTGGTGAAAGAAAATAGCCAAAGGGTTGCTATTTCACCAGTGTCCCAACGTGCCTGGGGTTATTTCATCAGATGCTTTACTTGGGCAAGTTGAACTGCAAAGCTTTAAGGCCTGAGGCCAGTTCAGTAGTTACTCACATTTGGTCATGCTCTTGGTGCCTTGGTGTCTGAGGTCCCTGCCACTGATAAGTGAGTTCTATTTCCCAGTTTGTTTTGAAGCTATTGGCAACAGCTAGTTGTTTTGCATTGGTGTTTCACTGGTGCATGGTGTCAACACAAGCCCATTTTGCTTGTAGTTGGAAACACATTCCAACTCATCTGCCTCTGCCTCGTCTGGCTCCAGGACTTGACCTGATCTGCGGTAGGACCTGGGAGCTGTGCCACTGCTGCTGTATTTCACTGCCCAATAAAGGGGTTTTGGTGGGTTGGGAAGAGCCAGGCTGTCAGGGATGCGCAAGACAGATGAACCCCTATTCCTGAATGCCTGAAGGCTGGCAGTGACCAAGCAGCACTGTTATGGTAGCTGAATGGCATCGGCCATCCTGGTTCAAGCCAGGGAAACTTTCTCTGGCCTTGTGGAGTGTTTCCATGCTCGTTGCCTGCCCTAGAAGCCCCTCAGACCAAATAATGTTCTTAAAGCTTGCTGGGAGAGGGCATCAGTTCAGGTACTGCAGGAAAGAAGATTCTTCCCCTGCTGTATACCTTTTCTTTATGCCCTAATGAGTACCTGAGCTGGGGACGCTGGTTCAGACAGGCTACCAGAAGGGAAGCTTGCTCTGTGCATCTAGATCAGTGCTCACACAGGACACCGATGGTCCTTGAGTCGTGCTGGTTTGCCTGCAAGGTCAGAGTCTGAGCTCATCAGGTAGAGACTGGTCTGAAGTTCAGGAGTAGGACATGCAGCGTCTGCCTTTTGCCTAGAGCTCACTGCAGTGCTGCTTTGCTATCTGTCTGCCATCTACGCTCATCTCTGTGAGTGTGGCCAGGGTGGCTAATCCCTGCTTATCTGAATGCAGAGACATAGGCAGCAAGAGATTTAATGCAAATGTAGCATTGCACAGCCCGTTCCTTCTCACAAACTATTGATTACGTGTCTGATTTGCTCTCCCCTGATAATAGGCCATAGGCAGAAGCCAATAGTGCGGGGAGGAGGAAAACCTGTCATGATCATTCGATGCAGCTGGTGAGCCAATGGGAGGAGAAAGCCTGTGGATTGGGCTGGGAGAGAGCAAGGGTGGGGGAACTGTCTTAGCAACAGCAGAAAGCAACTCTTTCCCCCTCCCACCCTGCAGCCATGCTGGAAAGTTCCTGGTGATGCTCCTTAATGTATTTGTCTTGCTCATGCCAAGTTTGTACGTGATTTATGTGGCTTTGCCGCGTGTGCCAGTTCACCCTTTTCTCCATGGTCTTTCCTTTGTCCGTCCAAGACCAACTCGTGAGCTCAGGGTAAAGGGTTCTGATGCTGGATTCATTGCTGTGCAAGCCCTGAGAACAAAAGGGAGTTTTATACTGTCTTTTTGTGTTTGGTACCTTCCTCTTGACATCTTTCCAAGACAGTCTCTTGTTGAAACAGTTTCTTGCCAGTCTGTTGAGACAGTGGGAGCTGGACACCTTGATTGTATTTTCATCTCTGCTAAGGAGTCCTTATGTGAAGCTGGGTGAATCCCTATCCTTCAAAATCCAGATCACTTTGTCATGTTGCTGGTTTGGGAATTAGAAGAAAAGATTCCTCAGTTAAGCCTTCCCTGTGATCTGTGGGCTGAGAAAAGCCAGTCCAAGGCACCATACTGCTTTGCCTCTTATCTTTCATCTGCCTTACAGCAGGAAATGTTCTTTCTGTCTCTCTGCCTCTCTCATGGTCAATCTCTCATTGGTTTAACCAACCGAAAACGAAAATGGCAGTTAAATTCATCCAAACCTTTTGAACATTTATTGGAGCCAAACACTGGCGCTTTCAACACTTCCTTGAAAATGACCTTCGTTGTCCTCCTCTCACCTGCTGCCTCCTCCTGCTCATAAGCATTCACACGTTTATCTCGCTATTTGCATGCTGATAATAGACATAGATTTTGTTAGTCCTGCATCTGTCGAGACGGCGGGGACAATAATAGAAGCACCGTCGGGACCAATATATATTGGTCTTAGGAGTGTGTCCAATAATGTCTGGGTCAGGGAGCCTTTAACTGCGGTGTCAGGGAATTTAGTCAGCTGTCATCGCTTCTTAATTAAAAATAGCTGAGACTCACTTACATTCCATTGCTGTGTGTTAGCTCATTTGTCATCTTGTCCTCTGCTCAACAGCAAACCCCCTGAACACCTTCAAAACCAGACAATGGGCAGAAATGCTTGCAGCAGGTAAGAAAAGGGAGCAGAGAGCAGATAACCCATGCATAAGCTGATCTTTAGGTTTGCAGGAGTTTAGCAGGATTCAGAGGGGATGGGGATGCATAACACTGCAGTATGAAATGTACTATATGTGTATCTATTTTATATAAATAAAACTAGCCTCTACACAGACATGTGTCAGGAAATAAATCCAACAGTAACTGTCCTGGGGTTACCATAAACTTTCCTCGTGGACAAACCAACTTCTGTTTTTCCATCTTGAGTTTCCAGCATCTTCCCCTGCTCCAGTACTCCCAATGGCAATGTTTTTTCAGGATGATCCAGCCAGACCTTTCCTATGTACATAAGTGATTGGATTCCTAATTCCTCACTAAATGGAGTTTAGTGGTATTTGTGATTGCTATCACCTTCCAGTAGGTTTCACTGATTTATTCCTGAGGGGACAGGGAGATGGGAGGTTACAGGGAGGTTCAGGAGCTGCAGAGGGAAATGAATAACATGCTGTAATATCATTACTGAATGAAAATGCATCTCCCTCCCCCTGCCAAAAAGAAGAATTTATTGTGATTCTAGCTAATGCTTGGAGCCAAGGGACAGTTTTGGCATAGGGAGAATTATTCTGGCTTCCTTTTTACAAGTAAATCAGAGGTGGAAGGGCATTAGACCAACTAACTTCCTGAAGTGGAAGTTGTATCCGGATTAGCATATTTAATTGTCTGTGATTGACCTATCTTCCATGAATTTTGCTAATCCATTTTTGAACCTGTTTATGTGTTTGGCCTCCACAGCATTGGGTGATGATGAATCCCACCATTAAATCACATATTGTTTGAAAAAGTTCATCCAGGATGTCCTGTACAATTCTGTTAATCTGTCCAGTGAGTAAATAGATGGCTGTTGCCAGGGTTTGAGATTCCCTCAGCCAAAATAGGTGATAATTCCCCTTGAGACTACATCCATCCCTTACACTGGAGAAGGGAAGCAGCACCAAACTTCCTGTGCTTCACCACCCATCTTGAGCTGCAAGGGACCAGTGTTTGCTCCCACAGAGCAGCTTCTGCAGTCTCAGTATTAAATGGTGATTCTTCTGACCATGCATAGTTATTTCCCTCAGCGCTGCTTCCCTGCTGACTTGACTGAAGATCCAGTGATAACTGTTGATGTTCTAAGAATGTTGTATTTCCTTTAGAGGGGAAATTCCCATGCAGCTTGTGGGATAGATCCACATTAAGATACTCTTTTCAGTCCGGTCAATTGTTTTGGGTCCAATACAATAAAGCTGTTGGGATAGACAGGGATTTGACTCAATATCATTTGGTGATTTTGAGGTGTGCTGGTACAGAAGCAACAGGTAGAACCTCATCTGAACCCCAAAGCATCAAGCTAAGGAGAAACCTTCCTGTTACTAGAGACGTTTTCAGACTGCAGAATTCTCTATGAAAACTAATTAAGCTCTGATGACTTCAGCTGTATTTTCAGCCTCTGATTAAGGCCATGATACTAATTAAACTCTTGAATTATTAAAAATGCAAATAGTCAGACCTGTGTGCAATAGCAGACTCGCTTTTCCATGCTCTGGGACAGCAGTGGGAATATTTGGCAGGGTCCCTTGTGGTCACAAGTTTTTCTTTCCTTCTTTTTCCTTGTCTCTTTATAAGTGGCTGCACTCCACTTGATGCTGAACTGAAAACTTCAGCTGCTGGGGTAAATGTCTCCAGTGCCTTGCAGCTAGACAAGTAAGTTTGATTAAAACCCAGCAAAGTTTTGGAAGGAGCTCTGGGTTTCGTGACATCCTGACTGTGGCATTTTCACTGAATGGGCTGTTGGGATTGAAATACCATCTAGTCCTTAGAGAGCGAGCCTGCTTTCAGTAGCAAAACTCTTGG